TACCAGCCCGTCAGGTACAGCGTCTCCGAACCTGAAGTCCTGGATGGAGTCAAGCCCCCGCCCTGCCGCAGCCACTCTGCCCCGGGAGGCGTCACCCCGGCTCAGGCTGGGTCCCAAATCCAACCCCAGGCTCCGGGTTTGGCCTCCATCGGAGTTCAACAAATGCAGCAGCAGGATGCACTGCCGCACCCCCAACACCCCCACTACTACCACCAACTCCACCATCACTTCCACCCACACTACATCCCCCACCACCCGCCTCTCTACCACCTCCACGAGCCTCCGGCGCTGCCCCCTAAACCCTACCTCCGAGAGGGCTGCATCCCTGAAGAGGACTCCCTGATCAGCCAGTCTGCAGCGCCTCCACCTCCCGCACCGCGGCCCATGCCACGCAAGATCTCCCAGCCCATAATCGCAGCCACCAAGGATGAGCAGGCTAAAGTGGCGTGGGAGCACGGCATCGGCGAGGAGTAGGACGCCCCCTCGTGGTTTATAGGGACAGATAAGAAACTCTTCTCAAAAGAGAGAAAGAAAAGACGTGAGAGCGAGAGCCAAACTAGAAACTGGGTCACGAAGTTGAGGGTAGCTCTGATTCGCCCCCAGCTGTCCTCCAGTTACCACTAAAGGTTTCAGTCTGCTCTCGCACACTCCAGCTAACGAGTCCTTGACCTCTGAGACGTGTTTCCTTTAACCAAACAGTCCTCACGTCACTGCATCCTGATTCTTTACTTCTTATATGTGCAGACGCGGGTTTAACCCGAGAAAATGCTGCTCAGCTTTTTCACTAAATTCATGATTACACCTGAAACTGAACCCGTGATTTTACGAAGGGATTTCTAGTCAAATAAAAAAAGCCTCGCTCTGAAGATTTAAAGGCAAACGGCACTTTAAAAACATTTTTATTTATGTACAAATAAAACCTATAAACACAGAACGGTCAAAGCAGGGATGTTATACTGAAGGATTATTTAGATCAGTGATTCCTAAAGTGTGGCCGCTGCCCCTTAGTGGGCTGTGAAGGTACTGCAGGGTGTCCTCCAGAGGCAGGGTGGCCAGATTCCATGAACCTCGATGATTTTTTTAGTTTGTGAAGGACTTTCTCTCCTCCCTCGCTGAGCAGACGCAATAAGCACAACAAGAAGTTTCATGTTATTGTCCGTGATATATTCTTTTTACTATATTTACTTTTGCTGTCCCGATAATTGACCTGTCACTTAATGTCATGTTTTCCTTTCTGCATCACTGCAGATTAACTAAGAAAGCAAAATCATTTCCTTTGTTTTGACTTCACCCAGTTAAGTAGTTTCCCTGTATTTCAGTTTTTTAAAGCCACTGGATAAAAGCCAGACTTTAGGAAAGTGCCTGTCCCGCAGTGAACAAAATGTGGGACACTGTCTCGATGTGGGACGAGGGGGACCAAAGGTCAGTCTCGTGTGGACTCCAGTTTAGCAGCTTTAAGTTTGGGAATCACTGATTTAGATGATTTAAAAAGATGAAAACAAAAGACCAAAATTAAAGCAAATAACTAATGATGATTATTTCTGTCACGTAAACAGCGGCTATAAAGGCATCGGGTTAGAGGTACTTTTTGTAACGATGTAAATACAACGTTCACCACCAGGGGGCAGCGTTTGAACAAAAGGTAATACACCAAAGTACGGCCGGGACCTCATTTGACCAGAAAACACAGATAGTTTAGGACATAAAGTCAAGCTGGTATTTATATTCTGTTAATTTTTGTTAATCTTATAAAACAGGAAGTTACAAAAAGTACCTTTAAGTGATGCTTTATGCAAACAGAGCGACGGCTTTCGAAGATTTTCAGTCACTTTTTCCTGAAATGTTGAAGATAAACGACAGAGATGAGAAGTGTTTATATTTAAGTAAGAGAGAATGTAGATACATTTAATACAGTATAAAGAAGTATATACATATAATTTATATTCAGTCGTTATACTTTTGATTGAAGAAATGTGCAAATGGCTCTCTGAGCCGACAGTAGCCGCTTCATCAGACGCGATGTGCACTTCACAACAGCCGAAGGTTTTATTGCAGCTCCTGAGAACAGGAGCGAGGGACCGTTTGCTCTGAGGGTTTTTTAAAGCTGACGATGCGTTCAGCGGAGGAACCTGTAAATATGTGCGAGGCGTCCGACTGCTGGTATTTTTAGGGATGTTAACTGAAGTAAATATACACCTTTTTTGGCATTTTTTCTATGAAAGTAATGACTGTACATTTTTTTATTAAGGGTACTGTTTTGTATGCATGTTCATTCACTGAACAGAGACTGTGAGGTGAAGCGCTGGAGAAACACTGTACTGTGCACTGATGTCTTTGTAGTCTAGGAAACCACTTTGAACACCAAGGATGTTGAATCAGCAGGATTTAGTAGTAGACGTGTAAAAGTACTGCAAAGGGTCATACTTTTGTATTTTAGTGTTTTCTTTTAAATATTTGTTTTACAGTTAGCACTCAGATTGTGAGCAGACTGTCATCCTGATCACTTCGCCCCCTTTTTAGGTTGAACAGCCGTTAGCTCACGTGGCTATTTGAAATCCTCGTTGTGCTCTGCCTGGTGTCCGATCACCTTCTCACATTTTGCATGGTGAAGCTGATCGTTGTGTTTGAGCTTCGTCCTGTTTTGGTTCCTCCTAAAGGTGCAGAAAACTCCTGATTCAGTGTCATATTGTGTTGGTGACGATGGCTGGTGGCTCTGTAGTTTATAGTTTTGAACTTAAGTCCAGCTACATTTAGATAAATCCAACACAGAAAATAGTCCTCATTAACTGTTCCCCTGTGAGGCTAAATAATAAAAACACGATGTCTTTGCAAAGTGCTTTGACAGAAAGGCAAAAATAGAAAAATACATTTCAACAGGAAGCTGGACGAAGAGCGAGATGAGACGAATTAAAAGTTAAGACAAGAGAACAACAACGAAATAAATCAAATCAACATTGTCTACATAAAGGGCTGAAAGCAGAAACAATAAAATAGGGGATACATGCATAAGTAAATATAGGCATCACATACAAATATGTCGATGACAAAGTGAGTCAGGTTGAGACATTTTAGATTTATGGATGTGCGCAGTAAACACAACCATAGTTTGTTTACAAAGAGCAGCCAGTCTAAAGAGACGGGCACTGAAGCAGCTTGTTTCAGACACATTGCAGTATTATTTTTTAACTATGAGTCATACAAAGCTCCTCTGGTCAAGTCCAAACATCAAAATATAGAGCTCGAAATGAGCAGAGCGGCTCCACATTAAATATTCAGCTCCTGTAATGTCAGTGAACGTGTCTGCTGCATTCATTGACCCAGTAAGCTACATGGAACAACAGCCATCATTCAGACAGTTGTTGCACATGTGCACTTCCTGCTGCGACGCATGGTGTGAGCTGTGTGAACAGTGATACGGGCGCTGCTTGAATTCTCCACCATAAACACACGAGTGAAGCGGTGATGGTTTAGTTTAGTTAGTTTAGAGCTGGACTTTCAGTGGCGCTCTGTGTCCGGTGAGCGTTTCCAGTCTCTTTATTCCCCACTTATAAAAGTTAAAGCCATGAAACTGTCCCGTGGCTCACACAGAGGCTGCACCACAGCCCGGACAGTTTGCAGAAAACTGCTGAATTCATGAAGTCGGGTGTTTGGTGAACTGACTGATGATGTTACAGGTGAGCACGGCTCGAGTTAGCTCCTTGAACTTGTCTGTTTTTAGATCTTTAGCTTCACTCTTCTTCTACTTTTAGTTATAAAGTTCATTTAAAAGAATTTTAGTTCATTTATTCCCTGAATGATCAACTCTTTCATCCTTGTGCGAAGAGTTCGAGTTGATTGTTGTCCTGTTGAAACTGAAACCCATATTAACACTCAGAGCAGCTGATTCACGTGCTGTGTGTATTCACAGCGATATAAACAGTTGTTACAGACTCGCACTGACGCCTTTGTGTTTATGCCAACAACGTATGATGTTACCTCTGTTTTAAACAGCTTTGAATGCTCTCAAAGTTTTTCTCACAGCACATTTGTTATGCTTGTTGCCTTTGCAAAACATGAAGATTGATATTAATATGTATAAGTTGATACAAAGCCAGATTTAGAAATCACCTTATTGCATTTTCTTCCTGCAACCTTTACCTCCAGTTCACATAACGCACTGGAAGGTTTAATTTTTTATCACTTTTCTATCATTCTGTGTGTTTGTTTATCTGTAAAGCTCCGTGTGCAGTCGTGCTGACCCGTTTATGTTTGATCCTTCTGAGCCTACAAAGAGCTGTGAGCGGGGATGCTGTAAATACATGACGCAGGCAGGTTAGAAAAGCTTTTCAGCAATGAGAAACTGCAACAATGAAGGTGTGTGCTGTTACGGCAGTTTGTGAGAGAGTGTGTTATATCAGGATCGAATTGCACCAGAGAGAGAGAAGTCACACAACAGTTTACTAAAGAAAAGTTCACAGCAGAATTAAATGTACATTATTTTCTCCTGATTTTTAGTTCTGTTCATCCCTTTAGAACATTTTGACATCCGCTGTCTTTTAAATATATCTGAGCTAAACTGAGAATCTGAGATCGTTGACAGCTACTGAGAAATAAAGAAGCAGCAACAACCCATTAAAGATGTTTCATGTGGGAACTATTTTCTTTTCCCTGAACTAAACCTACTTTACATGCATATGCTGCAATCACACATGCATAGATTTTCTTTTGCCTTTTGTGTCGTTGCTCCTTTTGTGTCGTTGCTCCTTTGTGCTTGTTGCGTTACAGTTTTATTCTGGTGCTTTTGTTTCTTATCCCGGTAACAGTCTGTTTTGTCCTGTGAGTCGACACTGGGATTGAGCCGGTATATAAAGGATGGCTGTAGCTTCCACGTCTGAAAACTAAAACAAAGCTGGAAGTTGCGTTCTTTCCGGTGGCCACTAGGGGGCAACTGTTTGTCCTGCAAAAAAAGTCTGAGAAAATAATCCCCGCAGCTTGAACTATGACCTCAGTAAATATTTACCTGATGAGTCTCACTAGTGTCAGGACGTTAATTTTATCAGCTGTCGCTCTATTGGAGGCAAACAAGTGGATAAATCAGGGTGTCATTGACAAGTTGCTGCTATATGAATGTGCAGCATCCTTCATATCCAAATGGGGGACCTCGCTGGTGGGTACGGCATCTTTTATGTAAAGTGACGGCCTGCTTTGACCAGCTTATATTAATTATTTGCTCACTAAAGAGTAGGGATGGGTATCGTTTAGGTTTTATCCGATACCGGTGCCAAACCGGTACTTTTGAAACGGTGCCGGTGCTTAAACGGTGCTC